GGTGTGAAACAGAAAGGAAATTGGCTCTTGTACGACAGTACAGCGGTCAAATCTAAACATCAGGTTTGAAGCTGGAGTTTCTAAATTAGAACATTCAATTTTTCTCTTCTTCCTTCACTAAAGGACTTAGGCCTAACAAAACTTTCTCTGTTCATACTGGGAAGACTAAGCAGACATCGTTGCTCCTCTTTGGCATTTCAAAACCAGGACTTGAAACGGCTGCCAGCTTTTCTTATTTTTCCTCTGCTTACCAATTCCTGCACTAAAAGCAAGCGCACCTCCAGGCCCTCATTTTTTTAATTGTAATTTTTAGAAATTAACTATTTTGGACTCAAAAGAGCAGTCTTAAAAACTTTAGGAAATTATGCTGCAAAACATGAAGGTTATGTCTAACATTGTAGAGGAAATGGAGAGGATATATTAAAAAGCCCCTTCCAATGGCAAGAAATTGTAGAATCCAGGCTCTGTGTGTGTGTTAATTATGCTTTTAATTTAGAATTATTCTGAATCTTTTAGTTAACTGTTTATCATGAGATAATTTATCAGTGCCATGCTACATTTGAGTTTGTTTCTATGTCAATACCGACCATCTCCAATTATTTTAACAGCATGTGGAAAATATCTTTTCCCAGGGAAGGGAGAGAGAAGCCTGTAAGTAGACTCAATGGATCAGTTTCAAATTTTACACTAGGGCTCTCTTCCTTTGTCATGTATTGAAAGAAAGGGAAAAGTCACCTACTTGGCTAACTTCAGCCAATGCTTGCTTTCTTCAGAAAGAAAAACTAGACAAAGAATAAGAGAGGCTAGATCTCCAATAGAAACATTTCTTAGTATTTCATCACTTTAAAAAAGTACAAGTAACACCAAGAATGATCTGATTGCAGGAAAGGATTTATCTACAAACATGATGAAAAAAGTTAGTGTGACCATTTTAAGTTTCTAGATGTTTTTATAGACTGATATGGATAGCTATTGATAGATAGGTAGAACACACGCAACTGTCTGGGACTGTACAGAAATAGTTTAAACACATGAAAACATTTTATCCACGTACAGTTCCTCAAATAAAATAACTTCCACTCTGATTTTCAAAATAAATCAGAATGATGATGACATAATATAGCAAAAACTTGAGATGATTTTCTGCAAGTGAGGTGACCATGCACTCAAAACAGTTATTTCTGCCCTTCATTGATGAATAATAGTACGGAATGGAAGAAGTTCACATTACTGTCATAAGAGATCAACACTGAGGAAGAGGGATGGGGACTTCTAATACCACAAATGCAATTCAGTAATTGGACAACGTAACAGGCTAGTTTTAAAAACAACAAAAAAACCCCAGCCTGAAGTGAATGTTATTTGTTCAAGTAATCAAACAGTGCTCTAGTGCTGCTGGTTAAACTTCATTCTCATAGCAAAAGAATCAGTTTCTTTTAGGTAAAGTACTTAAGCATTCATGAACCTATATCCATTAATTACATTTCCAATAAAAAAGTCTTTTTATAGAGTTGTTTCTTGTAATGAATTAAAATCTTAGAGACAGATTAAACATGCTCCTTACAGGCAATACACTTCTGGAAGTATAGGAAAAAGTTCTTTTTCAGAAGAAATACTAGAAAGCATTGCTACTGAAACCTGGGTGACTGAAATATAAAAATAGCATGGGATAAATATATTTTAGTTTAAACTTAAAATACTGCAGTAAAATAATATCACAAAATTATTCTATAATTAATGGGCTCTGGTTTTTAAATTCTTAATTATGGAGGTAGAAGAATGTAGGTAACTGACTGGAAGAACTCCTTTAATATTGTTTGACAAGACAAAAGCCATAAAGTTAATATAACTACTCTCCCCACCCGTGCTCATAAAATACTTGATCGAACCTGGATTAAATTTGCAGGTCTAATGATCAGTAGCACACATTTCACTAGGCACTCCTTATTTTCTCCCTCAAAAGCAAGTCACTGATTATTTTCACAAATGCTGCTCAATGCAGTGATGCTTGAACCATCCAGTCATTAACAGAAAACAAAACAAAACAAAGAAAACCCACAAAAAACAAACCCTACTAAGGAGGAAAAAAAAAAAAAGAAAAAGAAAAAGAAAAAGAGAGATATCAAGAACTTTTGGCCACTTGGTTCCAAATCTTGGTTCCAAACCAAGATTTAAGGAAACCACAACTTTGCCTTCCTCTTCATGACTTCCAAAACAATTGAATAGCGTTATTCACTAGTAGGATGTCTGGTACCTGTGATCAGAGAGCTTTCACAGAAAATAAGGAAGTCTTTTAAGGAAACAAAATCTGAAGTTCCTCAACTCCATCAAACTGCACTACATTTAAAGAAGAATATAACATGAATGGTGACACATTAAAAAAAAAATTTAGACTGTGTTTATGTTGAACAAGTCCAACCCAGACTAATTCTCCACTGTAGCAGTATTACATTATCTCCTTTTGAAGTCCATCATGGCACCCTAAATCTGTTCACCTACTACCTATAAGCTTCAGTGGAGAAATAGGAAAAAAAATCTCTGCCACTGTTATTCACATAAACTTTTGTAGATTAGCTAATATCACCAGATCTTTTATTGCTATTCCTTAGTAACATCATCAGACCTCCAGAACCAAGTGTTAACTTACTTCTGACTAAAGTGAACAATAACATTTCACAAGAATCACCTTAGGCAGGCAGGAACCTTGGATCTCTGTACCTAAATACACTATGGAGCATGTAAGTATTTTGAAATAAAAATTTAGAATCAAAAACACACTTCTGAATGTTTGCATTCAGAACATTCAGTACACAAAACTATTGCAAAAATGTCTGAAGTACTGCTTTTCCAGTCTTTTTACAAAATGATAGACAAAACACTTCC